TACGTGTGAGGAAATACGTACGTGGTGCCACGGTAAGATCAGCGAAAGGTAGAAATGCAATTTCTTCATTCAACATTCAGACTTCGATTTCGAGAGTGAATTTAGAAATTTCTAACTGGACGGATATGAATGTTATAAATGACGTAATTGTTCGTGTAAGTCTTCGTTTCAAAGAAAACAGAGTTGGAGTATGTTTAGGAAATATATAACATACTGATTATATTATGTCTTTTTGTTAGTTTTCAAACATTATAAAATGAAGATCATGTTTGTGCTATGGTGTCATGATTTCTAGCAACGCACTCCATCGTGACAAATGTTCCTGCGCAGACAAAGCTGCCAACACTATATCTAAATGCATCCCCTAAACATAGCATCTTCGTAAATATGATCAAACAATTCTAACCGAAGCGATAAGATGTCAATAAATTATACTGTGATTTTTCTAATGGAACAATTGTTGTAGCAAGTTTTAGTTAATAAAATATAATTCCAATAAAAGACTAGATGGAATAACTTTTTACTGAAAAGATACATAGTTTGAACCAATGGAAATTTTAATGTTATTTCTTCATGAGAGAAATAAAATTATTAAGACTAATTTTTTAATTAGATTGTCGATGTGAATAACGAGTTATCTTTTCTCTTTATTCTTAAGTTATTCTTACTTTTGGTAAGGACCAATGTTTGAAAAATATCTGCTGTTTTCTTCGAAGGTGTCAGAATTCAAAGAAGTCGAATTTTAAGAAAGAAGAGATGGCAAACAATGAAATCATTGATTTCAGTGACCGACGTCCAAGTGACGGTGTATGCTTCTCGTAATCGTGACGAAGAATATTTCTTCGTGATTTATAGATGCGATTGACTTCTCTTCTGCTAAAATCACTCTACTATTTCGACCCGAGGAACAATCGCGAATCGTCTGATCTATTGTGTTCTTGAAAGAAGAAAACCATTTAACCATTTACCATTTGTTAATAAATAAAGCTTCTTGCTTTGCGATTTTCTTCTCTTCAGATATAAAATATTGTAAACGTTATATACGTGTAATTTGTATTTATTAATCTACGGTTTGAAAAATTAAAATTCGAAAATTCAAATTCATATTCATATTTAAAAGGTGACACAAAATTTCTTAATATAAATTTTTGTTAATTAAGAAATAAATAACCTGAGAGATTTTTTGAATAATCTCTGATCAAGATCATCTTCGAACATGATACCACACGATCCCACCGCGAAGCATGCAAGATGATCGCGAAGGACGATCGAACAAGGTTCAACACGAAACCTCAAATTCTTTAGGCATTCGTGTAGATTGATACGTAGCTATATCGTGGGATATCGAGACCCCATAATCTACACGCACAAAACCTGATATCGCTCTGAATATTATATAAATGAAACTAATGAATTCAAAATCAATGAATGTTTTTTCATTAATAATTCTACAATTTGAACGTAATTTTTTAAAATTAATTATAAATCAGTATGATCGATTTCAAAACTCTCTGTGTAGAAAAACATACTTTTCACAATGTTAATTCTTCTTGAAATTTTTTTTTTAAATTAATTACGAATTAGTTCTAAAATTTTTTGCGAAGAAAATAATTAGAGTTTTCGTTTTTTTTTCATTATTATTTTATCACATGTTAAAGAATGATCGAAATGTTAAAAGTGTTATGCTGCGGAAACAATCGTAGCCTCACGTTAATTAAAAACGTAGAAATGGACGAGGGAAACGAGAACAGAGAATCTTGTTATATACGCGTGCTAGTAACGATTTGTTCCCTTATCTCAAGTTGTTTAGCAATTAATGCATAATGCATAAAGCATTTTATTTCCTCGGTGGCACGCGCGAGCGGCAAGGTCGGTGACCGGCGTTGACCAAACACCGTGAAAAGCAAGGTGTGCCTTCGTAAATATAAGCGTATGATACATTCCAATGGGAATATCAGAGGAAACGGCAAACAAAGTCAGAGGTCGATTCGTTACAAATGAATTAAGATCGCGAGAATATCAGAGATTGACGTCACGAACGTGTTCACCTCTTTACGTCACCGGAAATTCACGTTCGCCTGGTAGGGTTATTTCTAAAAGAAATTTTAAAATTTACCACAAGAGAAAGAAAAAATAAATTTTTATAACATTTTTTATGTTATAATCATTTGCTAGAACAAACTGTCAACAAGAAGAAAATACAAATTTTTAAGTCAAAAAATAGTCCTTTTTTCTGGAGAAATGATCTAATAGAGAACTATAATTAGTAATTAATGTATATTAATGTTCATAAATAATGTTTCTAAATAAATTGATGAGAAAGAAATTTCCAAAATAAATTTTTACTGTAACAATTAATGCATAATGTAATTACATACTCTGTAATAAATTTGACATAATTTTTAAAATGGAATCATACAATCTTACATACAATTAGATCCTCAGTAATTATGGAAAAATTATGATAGTGGTTATTTTCTACATTATCTTAGGAACTACTGTTCTATCAGATTCAAAGTCCATCAGAATGCTGGAATTAGTATGTTTAACTGAATACATTTATAAAAGATTAGATTTCAATTATTAGAATTGATTTGAAATTTGCTTGTTGTAATGTGGTTTCAGTACGTCCTTTTAAACAAACGTGAGTAAATTATCGTTAGTAAATTACAACTTTTATAATTTCAACTAGCTGTAAATCATATTATTTTAAATTATATCAGCTATAAATTAAATTTAAGGTCCGCGAAATGTTCCAGATCCTTCAGTTGCTGTTTTAAATATTTAACACAGATTTGATAAATGTATGATAAATAACAATATAATCGATTATATTTCTACCAAAAGTCACACGTTGGCCATTTCGAGCATGTCTGATAATTCCGCCACTTAACTCCCGCGTTCCCAGGAGGTGTCAGCAACGTCCGAGTAAAGCTCTTCATTGTCAGTTACATAACTCGGTGACAATCGAAACGACCAATTTCAATCATCGCTAGCTGCAAAGTCAACGACGTCCGCTCTCTTCGTAGATTTCGAGGGATTTCGTAGGTGAAGGAAGAGGTCCGGCCACAGTGGGACAAAGATAGCCTGAAGAGGAAGCCCGAAGAGGCTGGCGTCGCCACGGTCGTCGGCCACGAAGAGGTCCGGCAGTGCTGCATCGAGCCTCGCGCTATATCGAGCCGAACACGTTCTTTCTCTCTCTTTCTCTGCCTCTTTCTCTCTCTCTCTCAGACTTCGGTTCAGCCATCGTACGGAAGACAGTTCGAGGAGACACCTCGAGGGCTTTCCCCACTTTCCTCGACCGATCACCGCGGAAATCACTCCGGCGGATCGATGAGGATCTTTCGACGCTCGATGGTCCGAGAACCGTCGAAAAGCTGGCCAGGAACGGAGTGATCGTCGAGCCCGACCGAGGCTCGACGTGGAAGAGGAAGAGGAGGAACGTGGATCATGGGCAACGCCACCACAAAGAGCCACTACTCGAAGAGTCAGCCTGTCTCTGCCACCAGGAGGCCACGCTGGGAGGGATCAGGTAGACACGCACAGTTGCTTGTTGAATGTGTTTGAACCGAATGTTGCTTGAAACCGTGACGTCTGACGCTTTGGTAAAAAACGATCTCAAGGGACGAGGGATCGTTCAAACACGCGTCATTCAGACAAGCAATTCGCCATCTTGATTGAGACTCGATACATGCAAACTCTCGAGAGCTTCGGATTTGCACACGGATATTAATTCGTATACGACGAATATTTTACCCTCGATTTCTTAGTTGAGAATTCCTTTTCCTCCGATGGGACTTGCATCTGTGGTATTGAATTTTCGGTTCAGAGAAGCTTTCGAAGAAGCGTGCGATTGTGGGGTGCGTCTGGTGACACAGAGTTTCCGGTAACGATGTCGCGAGAATGACGATGCTCGCCTATGTTTCGGCCTGTGTCTCATGATTGGCTTGCCTCGATAGTGCGATGACAGCTAAAATTAGACTGCTTTTGCCGACAGATCTGTCAAGCCCGTGGTAGAGCGTTTGAGTGATCGGTAATGGACGAGGAATTAGGGTAATCGGCAAAGTTCATTGGGTCAGTGTGATTGGCGATTTTCTGGACCAGATAGTTGTTACACGGCGTGAAATTGTTGATCGATATTGGAAATCGATAGTGGGTGAGAATTCGGAATAACATTGATAAAATTCTCCGTGACAGCCAATGAGAAACTATCTAGTATCTCTGTCAGTTTCTTCCGGAGTTTCTCATGGAGATTTATCCGAAGATCGTGTATTTATTTACTATCAAATCAACCGGTTGTCCGAAATTAACTTGCATGCGTTGGCGTTTATTTTAATAGTCGAACGATAGGTCGGCTGAACGATTGGCGGGGAGCGTGCTAGCATCAAGTGAAAATACAATATATCTAACGAAAAATAGTTTTGCATACATTTGCATCTCACATATATTCGTATTTTTATTAATTAATCTCCTCTTTTACTAATATTTCGCTAATTAATTTCTTATGATACATGTGTATATGTGTAATTTTTTCCTAGTTTGAATATAATTCTCAAAGATATTAATACTAGATATTAATATGAATAAATACGAAATATTTTTTACGAATAATTAAACCTAATATTTAAAGATTGAATATCCTCAGGAAAATAAAAAGTAATTATATCTTTATATATTTAATTTTGTGATGAACAAGAAATATACATATTGTGTTCGAAAAATTCGAAAAAAATTTAATTTTATTGTTCGAATTTGTATCACGATGTATTAATTAAATATTTCAAATATCATAATCCTATCAATATCTTCAACCTTTGGTGCACACATACTGTGCAGAATTTAAAAATTTGTGCGAAGCTTCGAGAAGGTTTTGTCTATTTTTTAAAGATTGAAAAAAATCATTCTTTTCCAAAACTCAACCTCTGATTTCAACAATGTTGCTAATGATCTATCACAATGACTGCCACGATTGTAAATAATTAAATGAAAAATTTTACAATATTCGCGTTTGCCTTCTTTTCTTCTTTCTAAACACACGTTTGATGACGATTGATTGGCACAACCAGTTGAAATAGGCTCCAATCAATTTGCACGTTGTGACAAAGTGTCGAAGACGAGCTCAATCCGATGCGATGTCCGACATCAGAGTTTCGCATAGTTTTTATCTGAGGACAGCGACGCAGCAGCCCTATGGTTGCTAAACAGTTTCAAATTTTATTTTGGGATCGCCACCTGCGAATCTGTATGAGAGAACGTGTGTCTACATATACACGAGCACCATCATTCTGGCACGTGCGATCTTTCTCTGAATCTATTAATCAAAAAAAAATCTATCGAAATGTCATTATCCAAATTTTTCCCATAATATAACGCAATCGTTTCGTTACTATTTTTCACGTTGGACGAAAATAAAAATATCGAAAATCAAATTCACGTGCAAGATAAATGGTTAAAGACCATTTCGTTCGAAATAACGAACGCTTAAAAAAAAGAGTCTCGTAAAATTCCGTGTGATCTTTTTTCACGTTTCGAATCTTCTTCTATTTCTATTTAAAGTTTGCGAGGGAACGTAAAAATAAACGGAGTGTCAAGGATATTCGATAAAAATGAAACTCCAAATCGATCGTTCAATTCCATCGTTAAAAATTCGAGATGACGGTGCACGTGGGGGAAGAGAAGCAAAGAATTATTTGTTATTTTTTTCGACGTTAGGACTGCCGGCGCCGCCAGGGAAACCAATATTAATACCAGGAGCCGACGAATCGCAGCCGGATGTGGTCGCCATCCGTTGGGAGAGGTCACCGAGTAACGGTGGCTCGGCCATTGTCGGCTACCTGGTCGAACATCGAAGGCTCGGTTCGCAGCACTGGGTGCGCAGCACGCCGGGGCTTTGCACCTTCCCGGAAGTGACCTTGAGCGGCCTCGAGCCAGGATGGCGCTATCAATTCAGGATCAGGGCTCAGAACGCGGTTGGCTTCTCCCGACCCAGCGAGATCTCGGATTCCTTGACAGTGACTTTGCAGAGGTCCGCTTCATCCGCGCCTTACTTCGACCTCGAGGTCAAGGACACCACGGTACTGGAGAACGAACAGGTGATTTATCGATTAAAGCTAAAGAAAAATGTTTATTCTCATAATATTGGTGGAAAAAATGCAAATGTATATTCTTTGTACTTCGTTGGTTCCACTGTGGAGAAAGTATAGAGAAAAAAATGTACTTCTTAATTATGGTTTGGGAGATTTTTTTTTTTTCGGTGCGCAAATAGATAACATTGATTTTTATTGAAGTAGAAAGGTGATTATATATTCTTCATAGATGGATAACCAAATCGAATCTCCTTTCCATCAATTTCTATTTTTATTGAATAGAATTTTTCACATTTTAATTGAAGAATGATCGCACGACACAGCAGAGACATTTACAAGTATTCTAGAATTCTTCCGGATTTTTTGGAATCTTGAAACAATGAGAAAATTAGTTCCGAACATAAACTATCTAGTATATATGAAGTGGAGGAAGGCGTGTCTGGTCTATGAAGGGGCAAATCTACTTACTCTAGCGTTTGTGATATTCTTCTAACTTTGGAGAATAATTTCTCTAAAAAGAAAGTTCAAGATATGTTCAATTAACTGATTAACTGATTAATTAATTTATTCATTTAATTTTTACGATTTCGCTCGAATTTCTAGGCTGAATTTGTGATACGATTTGGCGGGTCACCGCTACCAAAAATCGCATGGTTCAAAGATGGCTTCGAGATCTTCAGTAGCAGACGAACGAGGATCATTACAGAAAGTGGCAGGAGCGTTCTCCTGATTCATCAAACCGCACTTAACGACGAAGGGGAAATAAAATGCACCGCCACTAACAGAGCTGGTCACACTAGCACCAAAGCCAGATTAATTCTAGAAGGTTTATAATTAAATTCAACTTTTTCCTTTGTTCAAATTCTGTTAATATAATTGACACAATTAGTATAAAATAAAATGTTCTACGATACTTCCTATTACCAGCCCCTCCAAAGATACGACTTCCACGTCAGTACGAAGATGGTCTTCTTTTTGAACAAGATGAGACTATTAGATTGAAAGTGTCGTTAGCCGGAAGACCTCCACCTTCGGTAATTTGGTACCACGACAGCGAGGTGGTTTCAAACGACGAAAGACACATTTTCGAAGCGATGGATGGCGAGTCTATTTTGAAAATCCCTGATGCTAAACGAGTGGACAGAGGAGAGTACACTGTTAAGGCGATAAATAAGCTTGGAGAGGACACGTCGTCGTTTCTGGTGACCGTAACAGGTTATTATTAAACGAGTAAAAATTAGAATTACATAACACCGTATCGCTTGTATACGAAATTTCACTTATTTTCGTAAAAATTTTCGCACTGTACTTTTCATAAGAAATATAATTTTCTTCTCTCTTGTAATTTTTAGATCGACCAGCAGCACCTGGAAAAGCAACAGTCACGATGACGTTAGGCAGATCCGTGACATTGTCTTGGGAAGAACCACGAGACGATGGTGGTTGCAAAATTGGCACATACATTGTCGAGTATTATAGAGTTAGTGACGAATATTAATATTGGAATTGTTTTAATAAAGATACATTTCATTCTTTTTAATTTCCTTACTAAATGTGTTCATTTTAAAAATTGTTTTTTTTTTTAGATTGGTTGGGACGTGTGGTTGAAGGCAACGACCAGTAGACAAACGAAAGCAACGCTGTCCGAGTTGATCGAAGGGTCTGAGTATAAATTTCGAGTGAAAGCTGAGAATCCGTACGGTGTGAGCGAGCCAAGCGAGGAGAGCGACGTAATCTTCATTCCAGATATAAAAAGAGGGTATGTTGATTTCATAATTAAAGGATCGAATGAAACAAAACACAATTATTTGATAATACGCTATTCAAATTTTGGATGAAAAATGAACAACTATTTTCCATACGAAGATATCAGATCTTTATAAATTTAGCAACTGGTCATCGCTGTTTCATGTAAAATATAAAATTTATATTTTAACGTAGAATTAAATTTAGCCATCAGTCGCGAAATAAATCTTTCTTGTATATCACAGTTTCTAGTTTCAATGTAGCATAACATAATTTCTTCGAATGTTCAGCATAATGACGCCCTCGTTGAGCGAAAAGTCGCAGAGTCATAGAGAAATCAGATCGCGAGAGAAACGTGAAGTCAGTTTCGCAGTGCCTACTCAAAGAACGAGAAGCTTGACAAGAGAGGAGGCTCGAAGCCGGGACAAAGATGACGACGTACATTTCGCACCAGCTAGTCGATCGGTATCAGCTCAGAGGCTTACCGGAAGGCCATCTAGAGCCGACAGTAGAGTGACGTTTGCCTTGGACACGATAGACAATTCAGACGCACCTGTTGCTCCGGCTAGATCGAAGGATCATTCCATTTCAAAGGTTGAAGGCCAGGTTGGAAATCACGTGGATCGTTCGAGTGTTAATATAAATCCACCGAGCAACGAGGCAAATATTAAATATTCATTTTATTCGTATTTTAAAATAATACTATTGTAGATTCCAATTCTGCTGCAATATTTGAATTTCTATTTTTTAGAAAATAAGAAAGGAGGGAGATCCTTCAATATCTTAAGAAAATCACTAGCATAAAATTAACTCTTTTAAAAATATTTGAAAAATATTTTGATTGCCACGATGTTAATTGTACGAAACTTACTTGGACTTATTATTTATCTTTAAGAGGCATATTTTCAGATGCAGTTACGTAGAAACAGAGTAAAATAAAATAAAGAATAAACAAATAAGAGAAAGAATAAAATCCTTCATTTCGCAAGAAAATCATTAAAAGAGATTATTATTTTTCCTGCGATCTCTGTACGTAATAATATTAAATTTTAATATTGAAATTTTTTTTATATTTGAAATAGAACTTAATTCAAAATAAGGAGCCTCCACCAATGCCAGTTTCTTCTACGAACGTGATAGTGACACCACCAACGATGGAAGAACCCAGTAGACGTTCAGCGTTCAGAGAGTCACGATCTCGTTCAGTTTCAATATCCAGAGAGCGCAGTATGTCACCATTGTCAATGCCCAAAATTCAAGAACAGCACGAAGAGGAAGCTTCTTCAAGTTACTCACCTTTTCGTCCGTCGACGAACTTAACTTTGAAAAAGCAACAAGCGATCGTTGATGAACCTGAACTACAGTTCGTCAAGAGTCACTCGTTAGATGACAAACCAACATTACCTACCTCTCCTAGAGAGAACGATGACACTGTTTTGCACGGAAGTTCAGAGTTTATGCTAGTTTTATACCCTGAGGATCAAGAAAAGAAACCGGAGGATACTGTTGAAAGGCGAAAGAGCTTAGGTGAGACTTTATTTCATTCTTATGACAGGATAATGTCATATAAATTTCCTGTAGATATATAAAATCTCGAATATTTTTAAAAGTACTATTAATATTAGTGTAATATTACAATGATAAAGAAATAAATATAAAAAATATAACACAACAATAATACAATAAAGTATGATATATCACATCGTAACATTATCGACTTTTAACGATTCTTAAGATCATAAAATTTATATTTAAATATTTAATTTTAGAATCCTATAAGATGACACACGTGCAAAGTCAGAAAAAAAAAATCGGAAATATGATCGGGTTTGTCATACCGCTATAAAATAATTCACGATGATTTTCCACTCCACAGAAACACCGCGAATCACCACAGACATCACAGCAGACGTCACAGAGGACATCGAAGACTTGATACCACCACCCATGTCTCTCTCTCTTCCAGAGTTATTCAGCGCGGAACATCAAGTAGTGGAAACCCTCCGCGAGGCGGTCAGCTCCACGGAACTTCTCCACGAACGCGCCATGGAACGATTCTATCGCGCGGTCGCGGCCGAAGAAGCTTCCGAAGTGGCGAAAAGAAAGGTGCAACTCGAGCGTAAAATCGGAGAGCTGGCGACCACAGAAGGCAAGCCGGTGATCGAGATGGAAAACGACGTCTTCAAACGGCGATTATCCAACACCACTATCGCTTCCCCGAATTTAATGAACTGGCAGTCAAAGAAGAATCGCAGAAGACTGAGCGAGGGTCAAGCAGAGACTGTGAAAACCCCCAACTTGAGACTACTAACGTCAAATTTGCTGCCAGAAGTTGAAGCAGTGTCCGATCCCAACATACTCAGCGATTCGGAGACACCGATCGTCCCTCCGTGGGGGTTGGACAAACCGGAAGAAACGCCACTGCGCAGGTGGCACGACACCAACGTGCCATTGGTCGAGGAGAAACCACCGGAAGAATCGATACTCTGGCAGTCCAGCTCCAATGAGGACATTCCGCGCAACGAGGGGCTGCTCCCTGACACTGAAACCTCGCAATCGAAGAAAGAAACGAAAGAGGAGACGGAGGATGAGGAAGAAGAGAGCATAGAAACTTCCGAGGAATCGTCGGAAGAGATCAGCAGCGCCGACAGCGAGGATTTGAAACTTCTAAAGGCTAGAATCCTCGCCAGACAGGTGCTAGACGAAGAAGACACGTATCATCCGAGGGGAAGACCTATTCCGCATGTCGAACCAGAACCACCAGCCATTTCCATGCACAGAGTGCCTATTGTAGACGTTACACCACCCACGCCGCCGACGACAATTGCCCCTGTATTGTCAACCACAGTCGTTCCTAAATCGATTCTGAAGAAACCTAAGGAAGAACCGATTCCAGTGAACAGCTTCGGTAGACCGATTCCTCCTGAGAAACCTATCAGGAAATCTTTGCCTCCAAATGTTCAAGCTGTAAACAGGAACGAAGAGGAGAACACTGTGGAACCACAAGTCACACCCGAGTCAATTAAAGTACCTGTCATGTCTGAATCCGATACTGACAGTGTATTATCCGCTGGCGAAGCAGCGAAGAATCGTAGGATTCAGGCAAAGGCAAGGACAGCAACGCCCGAGGAGGAGATCGACGAGGAAGACATCGAGGCGCGGATGGCGATGGTTAATCATTACACCGAGATTGTCAGAGAACACTCGAGTCGGTTTAATTACAGAAGCTCCGAGGAGAGGAAGCTCGACAATACGACTAGCTCCAGGAGATCCTCTTTTTCCGAGGATCATGATCCGAATCAGGCAAAGGATCGCGTGGCGAGCGTGGTCCCGGAGAAGCTGAACGAAAGGCAGGATTCCAGGGAAACTGGACAGGTGCAACAGACGAAAGTGAAGAAGAGAAGCGAAGTCGACAGAGAAGAGAAGCAGCAGGTTAATAAGAGGAGTGCCGGTTCTCGAGGAACCACTCCAGCTAGAGACACGAAGCCTGCGAAGGAGAAACGAACGAGCAGGCCAAGTTCCAGGAATCAATCCCCTGTATCAAGATCGAGGAACGTGTCTGTTGAGAGAGCAGTCTCCTCGAGGTCTTCGTCAAAGACCAGAGTTCGAGCTCCGTCGCAAGATAGAAGACCACCTTCGAGAACTGATACCGAGGAGCAACGGTTCGTTCGGGAGAGATCCGTCGACGAAGGTCCACGTCGGTCGAGGAAACCTTCTTCCAAGACGCCTTCCAGATCTAGTTCTAGAGACAGGAGCAGAGCCGAGACGCCAGTCGAGTTGAAGATGGAACGTTTGCAGAAAGCTCTCGAGAGTAAGAAGTATAGATCCTCTAGACGCGGGTCTAGCGCGAAGAGAGAGTACCCTGAGAAAGCTTGGAGAGAGAGCCGATTGAACGAGGAAAGATTGGCGATAGAGGCGAAGCACAACGTCAGGTCGATGGTGGGATACGTGACCGACCTGACTCTATTATTGGCGGCTGTTTATATTTATTTGTTTAAGAAGGAGACTATGGCGATTCCTTTCATTGCGCTGTTGCTTTATAGGAGAGTTTCGGAGGAGATTAAGGGGAGAGTGTTGGAAGGCTGGTGGTCCAAGCGAAAGCAATGATGTTTGATATGGAAATTTGTTAATTAAAGTTTCTGCGATTAAATGTTCAATGAAAGTTAAACGAGATGAAAGTAACGTAACGATGATACTTGTAACTGGAACCCACAGGAATGTGAATTTTTCAATAATAATTAGAATCAATCTGGAATGATAATAACGATGATTTAAATAAGAGTATCAGTATTTTATAATAGAAGAATGAAATTCGAATTCAAAATGAAAATAACGATGATATTTAAAGTCGTCGTTAGTGCGAACTTGTTTGCACTTTGCAATAGAAAATTTCGAATGAATTCGAAGCGAAAGTAAGAATGAAATTTGCAACAGAAGTGTATGGGAAATGTCGGCAGCATGCAGTAGAGAATTTCCAATGAAATTCGAATGAATCTGAAACGACTATGCTTGAGGTAAGAGCAACGACGATGTTCGAAGTCAAAAAAAATTTTCAATTTGAATGAAATTCGAATGAATTCGAACGATATTCGATTTCGCTTGAAGGACAACTGTTAATTCACGCGAAAGACCGGAATTCTTCGACATTGGGGATTGTTACGAAGAAGATTCAAAGAGCAAATTCCTTTGTGCAACAATTGTAGCGTGTTGATTCTCGACCTTCTAAGGTTGCAGACTTTGAGATACAATCTGTCAAACGCATCGATCGATGGCACAAATTGTTGTATTTCATTGAGGAATTACACCAAACGAGCACCAAAGATGAATAGTCTAGAATATTCTAAGGTATTATATTTAACGAGGATGATATATTATTATAAATTATTATTATTATTATTATTATTATTTATTCCTATTTATTATGGATATTCTTACTCGCAATAAATATGTACATAACTGTTGAATTTGACTGACCGATCTTCTTCTGAGTTTAATTATCCTATTCCGTGTGTTTCTTACTTTAATTAAGCGACATAATTATTCCAAATGCAAATAAACGTGTTTTAAATTCTTCCGCTAATACTGAAATTCTTAGCATGGGAAATATTGAAAATCATTTGATACTATGCCGGAATATTTATGTACAGTTCACCTAAATTCTAAATTAGCGGAAAGCTTCTCATTGAATCACGACAATTGCGTTGTTGCTAGCCAAGAATCTGCTGTTCCTTATTTAAGTCTGACGTTCGTCTTCGCCACAAAAGCGAGCCTTCAAAATCATAATCGCGATGATGATGATTGAAAAATTGCAACCGTGTTGCCTTCGTTGTTTCCGTTAGTCGCTTCAATCGATCTGTGCACAGTCGTTGACAATGAGCCTAAAGTCTGACGTTCTATCTATTCCATATTTTTTTTTTCATTTTCAATATTAATTTTTAATATTTTTAGTTTCGCAACTTTTAAGTCAGAGCAATAAAAAGAAACGTCGAACCGAAAGGTTGGTTACAACATAGCACAGCTATATACTTATAAAGGAAAAAGATCATTAATTAATTCTACTTTAAACTGTTTACTCCGTCTGGGGACCAATGGCTGTTATAAAATAACTCGTTTCATATTTCTGTAGTCAGGTATTATAATCATACGTACATCTCAAATCGTCTTCGACCGAAAGTGTTCATACGTTCAACGTTCGATATTTTAGATGGTTGAAAGGAAGGAGAAAGGGGAAGGTGAGGGCGCACGGTGATCAAGAGACGGGGCAAGTTATTCAAAGATAAAAAACAGCAATGCGCCGGGTTACATCAGGGATAGATAGCAGGCCAAGAAAGAAAGAGGGGCGAGAGGGGCGTGCCGATGAAAAGGAGAGAAAGGGAGAAAGAGGCGTCGGGGACGGGACGAACGTCGCGTTGCGAACGGCGCATGTGCGCGTTTCGTTAAAACGACGAAGCCGAGAGTGGCGTGTCGAGACGATTTTAGACCGGAGCAGGGCCTCCTGCCGTCAGATTTCGTGGCGCACAGGGTGTGCTGTGCCACGGGTCACCAGAGTGAAGAAGAGGTCGCCGGAGGGAAGGAACGGAAGCTTTGGCGGTCGAGGCGCCGGAGCCCGCGACCGGAACAACGTGCAGGTTGCCTCTTTCCTCGAATCGAAACCGCGACCGTGCTCTCGCGTGCTCCCTTTCGCGAGTGATGTCAATGCGAGGAAGGATCGGTTCTCGTATCATCTGACGAGATGACCTTAACAGGTAAGAAGTACGTGGCCTCTCCTCTCGAAACGCGAATTCCCGTCGAAATTCGCAACTGTGTTGATGAAAATATACGGCGGATCTTGACTTGCAGGAAATATACTGTAAAGTTGTCGAAGATCAGAGTCGATGCATTAGAACATTTTTAAAAGGAAGGAGGAATGATTAAGAGCGTGTCTTAATTTATTCTTTGAAACGTGAATCGGTCAAAATTGGATGGATCTAGAGTCGAAGATTATGAGTAGAAATGAAATATTTCGAAAAGGAAAATTCTGTCTGCCTTTCCAAATAATTTCGAGTGAATTTGAGTCAAATTTGAAACTGTGCATAAAAGATCAAACGAATTTTTGCGCAGTGTGCGGGAGTTTCTTCAGAGTTGTCGAAGACTCACACGAGTCAATGTACTACAATGCTTTTGAAAAGAAGTCCGTGATGACGTATTTCATTTTATCTTTTCAAACGTGAATTGGTCAGAATTGGAATTGTGAATGGAAGATTCGGTAAATTTTACGTAAGAAGTATGCAAGAAACTTCAAAATTATCGAAGATTCCGAAAGTCGACATAGAATATTTCAAAAAAGATTGAAATCACAGTTTCATTATTATTTTTCTGAACGTAGATCGAAAATTTGCAGAATTTCGCGTTAAAAATGCACGTGAAAGTCTTTAAAGATCTCACGAGAGAAAATATTAACGTCGTGTTTCATTATTGCATTTCAAAATCTGTGTCCATAGACGTCAAGCTTGTCAACGAAAAATTCAACGAATCTTGGACCAGAAACGCGTGAACAATTTCAAGTTATCAAAATTCTCAAAATCCCTTCTCGTTACTATCTTTTGACACGCGAACCCCTTTAAACTCGATATATTTCATCTTACCTAACAAACATCTAAAAAAAATTCACAGTCATCGAAAATTAAGAAACGCGAGACAATAAAGTTTCAACAGGCTTTGTTTCGTCAAGTTTCGGTAAGAAAGTGGATCGTGGTGGACCCTCGATCGATGACGTCGAGTGACGATATTTGTTTAGATCACTGGTCGTTGAATCTTTCCGCTGGCTGCCAGGTGGAGGTTGCTCTTACACGAGCAACGTAGACCGTGTTTAACATCGGTTATAGGTTTAGTTTCACGATCGGTTGTTACATAAAAATCTCGGGACTGGCTGGTGGTCTGGACCGAGTTCACCGGCAGGCAAAGTCAGGATTTATGCATGCCGCGTACTCCAGCGGCCGGTAATAACGCGCTTACGTTTACGAGAACGAAATCCGCGTTAAAAATAAGAGTTAAAAAACCAGATTTATCTAACCAGCGAAGAGGTATAGTCGGGGAAGATGTTCGTCGGCGTCGGTGTTTGGGAATGGAACCAAGTGTCCCAAGCAGTCGCGGCCATGTTTATTTTTTAAAGTATTTATTTATTGCCGGGTTTCACGCAGAAACACGCACGCTCGGGATTCCCTCTCGCGGCCGAGATCATCAAAGAGATCGACGAAATTTCTTACGGTGAATATGAATTCGAAATTGAATGTATCTCGTTTGATTTTCTCAAGTAGTTCCCATCTTGGTTGCTTTCTCCGCTCGAATATCTATATTTACGCGGCCCGTAGGTATCAGAGCATCTATTGATATTTTCTTTCACTATTTTTATCTTTTTTCATTATAGTCAGGTGTCATTTATTACACGCTTGTTGTTTTTCCGTGTGATCAGTGTGGCAAATCACAGTGGTGTAAGTGAAGATTTCGAATGTAGCAGTGTATTTCGAATTTTCAGAGTATATTTAGTTAATTACAATTAATTAAGTTAGAACCTTGTTCTCTATCGCGATACATTTTTGGAGCTTGGAAGAATATAATGAATCTTTCATAACAATAAATTTTTAGTAAACTTCTTGGTAGTCTCATATATGGATTGTAATCGAAAATTCATTTTATTATAATCGATTTAAATTTTCCAACAAATGTCACGAACAACTTATGATCTGCAGTGTAACTATCGTGCTTATCAAACATACGATTAGTCGCTAGGTATTACGACTTATTAAATAATAATATCAAATAATTAACTGTTCTAATACTCTATGATTAATATATTTATAATAAATTATTAATAAGCTTCCTGATGTAAGCGAATATTATAAAATCATGAAAAATCATCAACACTTTTATTCAAAATATTTTGTACGACACATATAACGTATTCGTGCAACACAAATATTCATAAATATTCATCGACGTATAATATATTCACACAAATTAAAAATAAACAATTCGTCTAATATATTCATAAATACGTTCACAAAATATTTCCACAAGCGTTCAAATATTTTTCGTCTATACATACATATATACGTACATACACTTCTGTTTTTCTAAGCAACCACGTGAGCGTGAAAATACCAGGTAGCCTTTCGCGAACAATAAATTTTCGCCTACGGTCGAACAACGTTACGATGTCATATATAGTGTTTTTCAATTGGGACCACGTCTCGTTGCACACGAGAAATATTGTCACACGTTGAAGGATGTATTTTCATAGCTAGTAACGACTCACATCGTTATGCAATTCGTTGCAGATCAAGCGACGAAAGCCAAAGGACCGCCACGATGGCTGGAGCCGGACCAGGTGCTTCCGGTTCAAGGACGAGTCGGCGAGGACATTGTCATCGAACCGAAACTACGGTGGTCCGACGTTTTCGACGAGCTACGATTCGAACTGTAAGATCACGTTCCTTCATTTTCCTCCGTGTATTTTCTCTTGGTGTCTTGGAACCTTGTAACATAGATATTCTAATTATAAGATTTCGCTAACCTTGTAACAAATTTCAGTAGCTCGGTAATAACCAAACACCTTTGCTTCGTTATGATTAGATCGCAAACGTTTATGCAATTTTTCGTATTTTGCTAGAGCGGAGAAACTAAATGGCAATTTGTTTCAACCGTGTAGAATTTCCTTTTCACAATCTCGATTTCGTTTCAAGAATTAATGGTTCAAGAACAGTAAAAAGTCGTCTATCAGTTTATATCCTCAATTTTAAGGAAGGTTCAAATTTCTTCTAAATGCATAAACATTGACAGTATAATTATAATTTTTAATTTTACTACTGATATTTTGTATACGATAAATAATTAAAGAAATTCATTATATTTACATACAATTTCTTTATTAAAAATATTAGTTGTTATCGTTTGCGTAAATTTATTGTTTTTAATACAAGTACAATGGTCAAATTATGTAATAGGAGTGATTATAATTTTGAAAGGGGAATCGAAGTTGGAAACGCGGATTGAAGCAACTGGTAGCGATACGAAAGTTCACGACCTCAGTGCGTTGTTTCGTCTCGTACTACAATGATCGAGCATTGTCGTTTACTTGTTATCGTTCATTCTCGACTATTGGCCCTAATTTCGGGTGGAAACCTTGAAACGTGCCAAGGATCAAACGCAGTTTATTTCGAGCTGTCGCGCACTTAATTTTCGCGGAGGACCAAATTACACCGCCGTCTCGTGTAATTTCGTATACGCGAATTTTCGCTTAATAATTCTCGTGTAAATTTTCCAATGCCAGGGACGTAGCTAAACTAAAAAAAGGGGGAAAGAAGTAATTACTAATAATTACTAGATTACATGCAGATCATTTTTATATCATTTTTTAAAGTGAAACTGAAGAGAAAAGAGAGAGGAAAGTGCATTTAATTACGTTAGATTGTAGATTTTTACAGAAATTCATGTTTCCATAAAATATAAATAAAAAAGTAGAGTCTTATCTAATACATGAAATATATTTAATAAAAATAATAACATAGAGAATTATATTTTTTATATGACATGAATTCTTAGTACACTTTTAGATTTTCTATAAATGAATAAGAATTCACGTTCTGCTAGTCATGGGTTAGTTTTCTTCAATTTCATTTACTGAAATTAAATGAAGAGAAAAGAAGACGAAAGTATTTGCTGCATTCTGTTTTCTTCTTTAACTAAAAGAAAGAGAAAGAAACAAAAAGAAGGGAAATACGTAATTTAACGATTAACGAACTGAATTAAATAATCTTGAATCAACATCCAACTATCAAAATTAAAGATTTCATTTATTAAACACGTGGTTTTTAAATAAGTGACCGCTATAAAAGTAAATTTGAACCAATCCAAAATTACCGAAATTTTCATAATGTAGAATGTTGGAAGTTTTGAATAGAAACGAAATCTCATTCTTTGTCAATGAAAGTTAGTTTTAGCATGTAAGTTTTCAGTGTTTGTTTTATCGAAAGTCTCTTTCGTAATGAAGAGACTGCTTAAGAAAATGCATATTTTTACCTGCACATATGCGATATGCAAAATCTGATCTGATTTTTATATATTTGCATACATGCTTTTATATTTATTTCATTTATAAGGAAAAGCCATGTGCAAATATAAACAAAAAACATGCAAATATATGTACGAACAATAAGCAAATATATGCAAGGGTGCACGAACAATAGGCAAATACGCACGAAAAACAGGCGAAATATTTTCATATTTTTCATACAGATTTTCAAATACTTTTTGCATAGTTTACGTGTATAAACATCCGCGGTCTAATAATGAGTAATGTATTAAGTTACTTAGGAAGGTGAAAGATTGGGTGCATAACCATTGAAAGCTTATTTCGGGAACGTAAGACGTGACCTCATCTAGCCTCGCCGCTTAAATAAGACAAGGGTGACGGATCGATAGTAATTGTTGTCTTTTTCAGAACGATTTGTCTTCTGACTCACTCTACTTGTACTTGCCGAGTCCTCCTTAAGTACATCTGTTGAAACGTTTTGTCGAAGAAAAATTACCATTTACCTTATTATTGTCGTATCAAACAGCACATTACAATATATGTAATAATAATCATAATAATATCATTTTTTTATATCGAAATAATTTTCCTCCAAGTTATTTCATTAAGATGTCGTGAGTAGATTTCTAGTTAAAATCTTGACCTCAATAATAAGAAAATTCCTTAAAACTGAATGTGAATTTTAGAAGAGGGTATTTAATAAAAGATAAAATCATATGAAAATTACAAATTAATATCAAACAGATTTGTTTTTTACAGACTAATTGATTACAGACTGATCGAAATAATTATCAAAACATGTACTCACTTAACACATGCAACAAACAGAGATCTTACTTTATAATTTACTGAATAATTATTCCAACGAATGGTTTATGCTATTCTCTTCTGTCATGTCGTGTCAAATGACGTAACATTGAAATGCTACAATAACTTTAACCCGAAGAATTAAAACTGTAGTCCAAACTGATACGAGTACCTCATTATTAACCACCAAAGCTATAGATCGCAAATTTTTATGCAAATCTAAATCAGTCTAGATCAGTCTAGATCATAAAGGATTAAAAACAATTTAAAGTATTTCCAAGAGAAGCTGCACTTGTTCCTACGAAACTCGAGTCGAAATCTGGACATCGAAGAACCCGAAGCCCTGACGTTCGACAACGAGATCGTTCCTTTCATCGGCGAATTGGCAATCGCCTGGCCATTCAGATGCTACGTCACCACGACGACGGAAGCGTCGTCCACGTCCCTCTTACGAAAACTCCGACACGGACTTTTCACGTTCTTCTCTTCGAGAATACCCTCCGGGTCCCTCCCTTTCCCCCCCCCGATGCAATCTAAATTCGACCGAGCTCTTGAAAATTTTCGCGAAATGACGCGAAAGTGGTGGCGCTGCTCCTTGGTCCGCGTCCGTTTCGACTCTAGGATGCTACCACGGCACGTTGCTTATAGTTTCCTTCGGAACTATAGCGGAAGGTGGCGGATGTGGAGGTGGAAAATCGGGCGCGGACGATCTGGCGCTGGCATCTTGCTATCAGTCTTCCGAGGGAGCGTCGTGACGATCGACGAGCGGCCAAAAATCAGCTCGGACCTCTCTTTCTACCTGCCTCTTTCTTTTTCTTCGAACTCGTTTTACTTTTACACGGCATCGGCCGTTAATTAGAACAGAGAGGTCTAGAGAAACGACCAGGGATCGGATAGCTGATAGATCGCTCGACGATCGCGCACTACCCCCCCTCTAGAGTTCGAGACGAATCATCCTTCGAGTACCTTTTTCCATACAACAATTCACAACAGTTCTGGTATAATGAGAGTTCACTAACTTGTTCACATTCGGGCGAGTATTTTCATTTCAACAAGTATAGAAAATACCTCTTGAAAATTTGCGATCAATCGAAAGGAGAAGAACAGAGAGTGGATCAGTGATGTAATACGAGTTTCGCGATCCAGCTGGAGTCTCATTGTCGGAAGCGGTTGATAGAATGACGAGCAGACGAAGTGAAGTCATCGAACAGACGTGTCAGGGTCGTGCGACACGAAAGAACGCCCGGTGGATTTATTTTTGCACGCTTGTCACCGAGTAAACGTCGACGATAAATAACGCAACGACGATGCCAACGTTTGACGAGATTCGTCGATCGAATGAATATCGGTGAGAAGTTTGCTTGATGCGAGCAGAGCACAATCGGAATACGCAGAAGAATCGATGCATCGGTTTGGATTCCATCCGCCTCTTCAACCCCCTTGTTCAATCCTCGTGCACGAGGCATGGAACTTTCTCTCCCGGGACCGTCGGTTCGACGAACTCGTCAGTGATTATCATTGGTGGTGATCGCGAGTGGTGAATCTTGATTCAAGGAGGAAGAGTGCGTTGAGCGGACGCGTGACATGGGGAGTGACTGTTGCAAGTGCGCCGATGGCAATAAATCCGCCATTAACGGCTCGTTCAGGAACCGTTCCGGATACCGGTAGGATTTTAGAGTTATTAGTTGGATATTTTTGATGGATACGATCTAGACTGCAGACCGCGTATGCAAATTTATATTTTTATAAACGTGGCAAAAATACGATTTCAATTGAAGGCAAGTTCTGTCAAATGTTGTGTTCTTTTGACGTTCTATATATTTTTGTGCATCATGCATACGTTGAATTTCGATTAATGAAATTATAAGTAGATATTCACTGTTTAGTTACTAGAAGCGAAACTTTTTACGTTCATTTGATTTCTCCTCTGTTTTCGTTGCTGATATTAGCAGAATGTAATTGAAAGCTGTGAGGCTTTACTGACTAGATTATATTTTGTGAGTGGTCGTGGAAAATCAACTTAATTTTCAGTAATGTAATAGAATTATAAAAATTGTTAACAAAATCGAAAATGAATGCTAATGAATATTAATTGAATTATCAAAGTGGCTACTATCCCGAGTGTGTGATCAAAATTAAATCCAAATGGAGTTTTCATTGCATAAAATCCTCGACGAGAAACCAATTTCAAATCCAATGTTGAATTATTTTCGTAGGAAAAACCTTGAGTTGCTCAAATAATACAAGTGTAACAAGTTGGTAACGAAGCTCAAGCAAATAGGATTTTTTTTTTTAATAAATACCATGACTCTCGAGCGATCGAAGAGAAAAGCTACATGTTTTTATCGTTTAAAGGAATCTAAATAAAAATCGGTTACACGCTTCCAACGTATTTCGGGCAAACAAATGATCTAGAACGCCTTAAACTCTTGGCATTGCTCTACTGCCCTATTTTCGTCGCCTTTTTATTCAAGCGTGCAAGCATGGCGGCGAGAACTTTGTTGTTCGATGGTCGCGGGATCGCGGCAAACGCGAGTATCGATCAGATTTTTCGGAGGCCGTGTTACAGTGTTCGAATCATTGAGATATCTCGCGACGATCTAGAAATGCCGTAACGCGAAAGATCAGTGGTGCAACCACAGCGTTTGACGTAAGGGAATTAGGCACACTTCGACCGCGACACGATTTCCATTTGCTTCTTCTTCTCATCTTCATGTTGTTTCAATCGTCATATTGTTTCAATCAAGCATGTATTAATACGATGTAATGTAATCTTGATGATAATCGAAGACTGATGGAATTATCAAAGAATTAATTTTTTATATGAATTATTTTTACGTCCAAGAGAAAGCATAAGTGTAAGTGAGTTTTAGATTCGATGGAAAATTAACGTGAACTTAAGATTGTTTTATTAAAACTGTTGAGTGACTAGCAATTTTGGAAGGTATAGTTCTTCTCAATCTTGTCAAAGCAGTAGTATATTAAATAATTATAAAAATATTTATTCTTATAATATCCTTCTTATTATATATATTCTTCTTCGATCGTGTGCACATCCTATATGAATAAATAATTCCAGCATCTAATTAAAATTCGAATCTAGACTTACACGTAGAACGTCAAATATCAAATTCGACGAATCGTTCTCCGATCATGCAACGATTCAAAAACTCATACTATTTTCCCTGAAAATCCCATCAGTCTTCAATACTATTTGTTTTCTTTTTACCAAGTATCTTGCAGTCGTCAAAATATAAACGACAATAAGATCGATCGAGATTGCAAAACGTAGAATTCTCGGCTAAACAAAATAGACATTGCGTCATCGGGCTTGAACGCGCGTGTCCGCGTCGTCGTCGTCGGGGAGGCGCCTATGCACGCGCCTCGAGATCGCGAAAGGTACATTTTTTCACGTGTGCATATTGTGCAAAACGAAGATTTTCCCACCTTGACCGCGACGATCGATTCGTTCTGTCTTGCAAAAAGAAAGAAATAAAATCCAGGGTCTGTGTGAATCGTTAGGACTTATTAGAGTTTATGAAATGAATTTTATTGAAATCTCAAGAACTTCGCTAATTTCTTTTATATTCTCTTTAACAAGGGTAGACTTATTAATGCAAGTTTAAAAAAAAAAAAGTAATACAACAGATCACTCTATTTTTCTAGCTTTGTTAGAAGATAAATCAGTGAAAAGAATATCAACTGTCCGTGAGCAATTGTCATTAGAAAATCTCACTTCCATGCCTAATTTTTATCATTGTTCTAGGCTTCCAAAAATGTAAAAAATTTCGAGTTACTTAATGAAACCTTCACTACATCGTACAATCAGCTTTTAAGTCAAATCTTCAGGAATAGAAATTTGCTTTGAAAAATTCATGAATGAAGTTTCTCTCAGGTGACGTGAGTGATCCAAGTTATTTATGCAGGGTTAAGCCCGCTTCCAACGCAATCTTTAGTTTCAGAATTTATAGTAGCATAACTGTTGGAATTTATAACTGTTTGTCCACGATGCAAAACAGAAGGGAATTTAATCCTTCATTCACAAAATTAAAATTTTCCTTCCTCCTCGTAGCAGCAAAAGAATGAACTTATGACGCTCTAGGAATTCCTTCTTAGACTGTCAAATGAGAAAAACAGTTCGTCAGTGAAAAAGTAAAAGGGTAGAAGAGTACGAAGGATGATGACTGGTCTCATTGGACTTCGGCCATCGCCCCGGCAAGAGCCACAGACTGGCATTTGGATATTACAAAACCGACCTCGTTTCGTTAGAAAGTGTTCCTCCCTGCTTTCTCGTTGGCAATCGACTCGTCTGTGTTTTCTTTTAATCGACCAGTTCGAAAGACAAGTGGTAACGAAACTTTTAACGTAAAAAGACTATAGAGAAGTTTCGTTTTAACAGAAATGCCTCTAAATATTGAATGAATTAAAATTATAAATAATAGCAAGTTTTAAGGTAAATTTAAACTATAATACAATGTTTATAATATATATATCGTCACGTTTCTCTGTTTTTCACTTTATGCAATTAATTAATGACTATGAGGTTTATACGTCACGTGGCGATTGATGCAAGTCGTAAGGAAGGATGAAATTATGTAAAACAAGGAAATTGAAAATGGTGGAATGTTCGTATAGGGTGTGAATTCGTTTTTATTAGTCTGTTGTTTCAACGCGCGTTTCATTCCAAAGATATTTATAGTTCGCCCACGTCTACCGAGAAATCGTAAAACTTACTAGCGTTATCCGCGAGATAACTGTCTTTCATGATTCTATTGAATTAAATTGAATAACTAAGAGAAAAGGAGACAAAGATCTGTTATTTGCGATGTCAATGTGATTGAGTTTAATTGCAGGATGTGATGATTTATGAATAGTATATAAATGTCAAGAATAATAATAGTGCAAATAGTATTACAATAGAAGGTTCACTAAATTAAGAAACAAATTTTGTTGTTTATCGTGATGATTACAAATTTTGTCAAATTTTCAGAGATACTGGAATAAAAGTCGAATGAACTTGTACTATTAGACAATAAAATATAAATAGAGTACAGAGCAGCCGTGATAAATACTACAGTTTATCAATGATGTTTATTTTTTATTTATGAATAACAGTTTATAAAAATTAACAGTTAATAAAATTTATTAGTAAATTGATAAGTTGATGAAATTATTAAATAGTTACCTGAAAAAATAAATTAATGTGCGAGTGTATTATAGTATAATACAATATACTAGCAAATTGGTTCACTTTATTTAATTATTACATATATTGATTCATTGTGTATTTTATAAATTAAGCGTGAAAACTGATTTTATTGCAGACTACGCGGAGATGTACCGATACCGTCCGATCGATACCGCGTACAAATGAGAGGCAACGTCGTCCAATTGACTCTGAAGCAAACACAGAAGGACGACACAGGACATTACGCTCTGGTGGCTACGAGAGTTGGTCAAGGATTCGACAAAGGATCTTCCAAGAAAATACACCTGAGCGTCGACGAACCTTCAGAAGAGGGTGATCCACCAACCTTTTTACGAAGATTGACTGATCTTGCGGTCAAAGTTGGCACCCGAACCAGATTCCTCGTGGAAATCCGGAGTTCGACTACACCGATGGTAACGAGTTACAATTGTTATAATTTACCACTCAATAAACTCTTAACGATAGAACAGAAATGAATAATTCTTATGAATTAAAAAAGATGAAGCCTAAATATTTCAATTTCTTTTAATATTATTAATATTATTTATTTTTAATATCATTGTGTCTGTATATGTTTTACTTTAAACATTTTGCATATCCTTGCATGTTGTCTATACGTGTTCTATATATATATATATATTTGCAAATTTAATTTCTTTTATAGATATATATACATATAAATATCAATCTAATTAATCATCAATTTATCCATATATTTTTATAAAAAATACGTTTGAGAATATGTATGCATGACAATAGAAGACAATTCTCCAAAAAATATTTCTAAAAGGTACGTACGTATTAACTCTAAAAATAATAAACTCGTTAAACAAGACATGTACAATTAATCCCTTTCTAAGTCTAATAACTTTCTTTTCAATTTCCTTAAATAAAATTGATATGAATTATTACTATTCGTTACGTCGCATTCAAAAAAGGTTACGCACAATTTATACTTATTTATCTTTAATATCAAGAATTTAAATTTAAAACCGCAATTAGAACTACAATTTGTTTCTTCTTCTTCTTCTTCTTCTTTTCGAAATCGTAATTCGTGTCTCGATGCCAGAAGCTATGGGGTTAGTATCAGAAATTAAAGCCGATCGATCGAGTTTGAGATTCGAAGAGAGAGAGGTATGTCCCAAAATAAGGTAAGGGAACGATGGAATCCGTGCCAACGTCGGCGATTAACCCGGAAGGGGTTGAGCCGAAATCACACGGTGACTTATCGCGATGGATTTCTGTTGGTTCTTCTACAGCGGACGGCAGACGAAGCGGGAAACGCGCGCTAAAAAGGAGCCAGCCGAGGTCCATGACCCGAGATTCAAAGAGACGAAAGGCAGAAAACGAAAATCGTTACGCGGTCTTGTGCGTCGTATTACGACTATTATTACGCGCGCGTGTACACTATGCCCCCAGATTGTCTAAATCTGCGTGTTCGCCGACTGCTCGCCATAAACTTTCGAATGCTCGTTCTCCGCGCGACGGATGTCCACTCTCACCGGGATTGCGTAACCCAAGGGGAGAGGATCCACCGCGATCGTCTCGTTTAAACTGTAACTTGAAATAATTGTTCTGCACGAGTCTTTGAAAAAATGGAAATTGAAATGGGAAATCTTGAAACTTCGGCCTTGATCGATATTGTAAATTGTAATAATTGGTCAAATCTAGAAGCTTGCTTTCTCTCTTTTACTAGATTGAAACTTGGCGCCGAATTTTTAAATTGCTTCCCCTTAGAAATAAAATATTTGACTTGTCACGTTCTGCCCCTGTAGTTTTGTTATTTAAGGTTGCTTTAAAAGATGCAGTCGATTGTGATGGGTTTCTCCTCTTATGATTAGACTGCAATTTTATATTTTTATAAACGCGATCGAAGAAATTAATAAGAAAGTTTAATCTAAAATTTAAGTACAATAAATGTGCAGTTTAGTTATACGTAAAAGAAATTCAGAAGGTTAAACAAAATGTGTAACGTGTCTACTTGTCCTTCGTTTTTCCCGAAAACGTACGTCGACGTCAGATACAAGCTCGTCGCCGGCTTCAATCTCTGTACAATTAGTCGTTGTTGAATTCCAGATCACCTGGCACAGAAATGCCGAGCCGGTGCACGCGGGTTCGAGATTCTCTTTCGTCCACGAGGGTAACTTCTACTGTGTCGACGTGGCACCTGTCACGATCGAGGACGAAGGACACTGGACCTGCATGGCGGAAAATCGTGGAGGGCGATCATCTTGCACTTCTAGACTTACCGTCATCGGTAAGAATGCGTCTTCTCGACTCACACTAAATACTCGATAAAATTACGAGAGTGTCTGGGCTTCCGGAACTCGATTCGTACCGGCTGACTATAGTTCTTATTATCGAAAATAGATGCAGCCTGTGCGTGGATGGCATTTTGGGATTTAGACGAAGAAATAGCGAATTGTACAATAATTAGAAAGAGATGAGGAAATTTTCATAATAATTATAATTTTTAATACCTATAATATTTATATTATCCTTTTATTGCATTTTATTTTATTTTATTTATTTTATTAATATAATATATATTTTTTATCATATTTTTTATTACATCTAAGTAGGATGAAATTTAAATATAGAAACATATTTGAAACCACGGTCTCTTTAGTTTGTAATTTCTTCTAATGGAAAATTTTTTCTAAATATAGTTTCTTAGAATCCCTTTTTCAATACAAAGTTCTTTGAAACAAAGTTCTAGTACAATTATTTATTGGATGTTAAGAAGAAAATTTTGAATAATCTTTTTATAATAATAATAATTTAAATAAATTTGCAAATAAATTTACAACGTACATTAATAATATAATAACAATATCGAATTATCTTTTTATATATCAAGTTTTTAATAATCAACAATCCTTCTTCGTTTTATTCAGTTTATCATCTAAACTTACGTCAATTACTAAAATTTTTTTTCAAGATGAAAATCTCTTCTAAAATATATTCTTCTTTTATTTTAGATACGTTTAACTTGCTTCTGCCTTTCTTTTTCTTTCTCTTTTACCAACCTACAGTTCCAAAAGCCTATAAAAGACCAGAATTCGTGGAGGAATTGCGTGCCCTCCTCACGGAGACAGGCACAGTGTCCCTGGAGTGCAAAGTAGTTGGTGTACCTACTCCAGTGCTAAGATGGTTCAAGGACGACAAAGAGATCAAGGCTGGTGATGTCTTCGCTTTAACTGCCAATCCCGATGATCCAACCTCCCTTGGCATTTATACCTGCGAGGCAGTGAATTGTATGGGAATCGCTTACTCTTCTTCGAAAGTAAATCGATTCATTAATTGCAAAAATACAAAAATTGAAGAGTCTTTGTAGAAAACACTGTAAATGCCAAACAAACAAGTTTTCAGTCATTGCTAAGTACAGTTTGCTTGGAAATAAAAATAATATGTTACATTGATATATTACTCTGCGTACGAATGATCTAGGAACAAATAGAATTAACATCTACAGTGTTTGCAAATTTGAATAAATGGCAAGTGTCTTCTTCCTTTTGAAAAATTTAATGTTTGACACCGTCAGTGTTTTCTAGGACTTTGTCAATTAATAATATTGCTCTTGAAGATATAGACGAAATTAATTTCTTAGGTACACGTGGTTGGAAAAGGAAGTAGGGAGGGTTCTTTAAAGCCAGCAGATTCCATGACACCGTCTGGTCCTCTTCCTATTTTCACGAAACTTTTGCAAGACGAATGTTGCAGAATCGGGGACACTCTCCGGCTTTCTTGTCAAGGTATTTTTCTCTTTTTTTTTTTTCTTCTTGCTCATTGTAATAACTAGACAATTATGCAATTTAAAATTTCTACGATCGTAGACTGAAGAAATGTAACCGTCGAACATTCCATTTTCTATATTTAACATATTATTACTATGTATTGTGCGCATATTCTACGTTCTTGCATGTTTAAATTTTCCATAAAAATGCGTAAAGATCTACAGTTTAATATATATGAAGTAATCATCATTCGCTGTTACAAACTTTATTGTTCGATTCGTTACAACAGTCCAAGTACCACCATGGTCGAAAGCAATTACGTGGTACAACAAAGAAGGACGTATCGAGCCGAGCGAGAAGTACCATGTAATGGAAGATGGTCTTGGTGGATATTTCATAGAGGTATATCCTGTAGAAGCTATGGACGAGGGTGAATGGAAATGCGTCGCCACGAGCGTCGAAGATATGAAACAGTTTACTACTTGCTACGTTGCAATGTCCAGTAAGTGAAAAGAAATATCTTTAAATCGATTAAACATCAAAAAATATCCTTTTCAGTTTCAACCTGATTATTCTACATTTACGTATATTGATCTTTGTTAAAAAATTTTTTCAAATCGCAAAATTAATCCAAAATAATTTCATAATATTGGAAATTTTTTTATAATCTAATATATTATAATATAAATTAATTTTTTTAGAACCTAATATATACATATAAAATATAAATTAATCTAAAGTAGTTTTATAATATTGGGAATTTTTTTATAATCTAATATATTAGCTATTATAATACTACTGTAATACTATATTAATAATATTATTAGCTTATTAACCATATCAGATCGCGTAACTAATCTTTTATTTATCAAGTTCCAAAGAACTACAGGAAACCACGGTTCATGGAAAGCCTGAAAGCTGTCCTAACGGAGGAAGGTTTGGTATCCTTCGAGTGCAAGGTCGTAGGATTCCCCACGCCTCTGCTGAGGTGGTTCAAAGACGGCCAGGAACTAAAACCAGGAGATGTTTACCAATTAACTGGTACCAATTCCTTAGGTATCGATCGCACAACCTATAATTCTAAATGTACAACAATTTATCGAATATTTAATTCATTTGCTTCTTTGATGTCTGATTTTTTCAACAGGCTCCTACTGTTGCATTGCAAGGAATTGTATGGGAGAGGCAAAGAGTACAGCCGAATTAACGATCGAAGATATACAAAATCAATTGAACGAGGAAGAACGTTTGCAACTTCTAAGCACGAATCAACCGCCCACTTTCATCAAAGGCCTTAGGAGTTGCGAAGCGAGGATTAACGAAAACTTTCGATTTACGATACAAGGTAATAATGCAGAATTCGTAATTTCCGTCAGAAATTTTAAAATGCCACTATTAACGAAACACAGTGATAAAACAGAAATCTAGTGTTTTCGAGATTGGAATGCAATCGAAATTCTATTATTCAAATTGAACTGAGAACTTAAAGAAATGTTACGATTCTATCTAATTTTAAATCAATAGTTGTTTCACGCCACTAGGTGTCAATGTTTGAAAATTTATGTAATATTATTTCTAATGCGGTGAAGGGAAATTTGTTTCCTTTCCTCAACTCGGTACAGATGGAACGTAAACTTCAACTATGAAATTGAAACTCTTGAGAGTTAACTTGAATTCACGTAAAAGTCTGTAATTGAAGTGTCACGAATGTAAAGCGTGAAACTTGTGTTTCTAAATCATCGTAGTCAGTATTTCCCCCGAGCCGAGCCTAGCTTGGTACAGAGACGACATGCCAGTGGAGGAGAACGAGAAATACCAGATCGTCAAGGAGAGCCTCGGCACTTGGCACCTCGACGTGAAAACGCTCGAATTCGTCGATCAAGTGAGTAACCGTTCACCGAAAATAACAACAAGAAACTTGCAACATCCGGAGAGAATCGATCGAATAAGTTTCACTATGTTTCACTGTGTTAATTCAGGCCGAATGGAAGTGCGTGGCTTCCAACGATCACGGTCAAAGCGTCACTTCCTGCTTTCTCAAATTAATCATTCCCAAGCATTATAAGAAGCCGAAGTTTCTTGAAAGTTTGCGCGCCATATTGTCGGAGGAGGGTGCAGTGAACTTGGAGTGCAAAGTGATCGGTGTGCCTCAACCGATTCTCAAGTGGTACAAAGATGGTGTCGAATTGAAGCCAGGAGACATTCATAGGATCATTTCTGGGGAAGATGGGACATGTTGTTTAGGAACTTACACTTGCGAAGCGACCAATTGTATGGGTACTGTCAGCAGTTCTGCGTCTCTCCTTGGCTTTGAAGGTACTATCATTAATGTAATTTTAATATATAATTATAATCGATAATTTAATTTTATTACAATTATCCTTAATATATCCTTAATATTAATTTTTAATGATCATAATCAAATGGTGAAATAATAATGCAACAGTATTTTTCTAATTTCTAATTCTAATTCTAATTCTAATTCTAATTCTAAAAATCTAATTTTAATATAATTAATATAATCCATAATATAATTCGAATGTTATTACAATTAAACACGTGACAGTGTGAAAAACATGTTGATGTAATTTAACAAAACACGATAGGCTTTCTACGACTGTTAGAAATCTACGAAGCATATTCAAAATATTGTTTTGTCAGATAAATTCCCCGTTCGAAAAGAAGCAAAGGAACTACAGTCACCAAACGGTCACGAACTTGCTAGGAATCTGTCACTTTCAACGATTCACGAAGAGAGAACGTCACAATTGTACGATACGCCGCAAACCGATCATTCCGTCACGTTAGACGATCGAGGAGAAGTATCCTTCAGTTTCGATGGTAAAGAAGTTTCTGTCAGTTTGTACGAGACACCTGATCTCACTGAAGAAGAAGCTCTTCAGATCGTCGAGATGTATGCTGATCAGTTATCTGAACATGTAACAGGTAAGTCAATTGCTTCTATTTTCTTTTTTCTCAGTTGTAAGATATTAGTTATCTTCTTCTGTGGAGAGGAAAATTTATTTAAACAAATAATCCAAATCGACGAATGAACAAAATTTTAGAAGAAATTTAGATAGAAATTTTATTTTTGAATTAAATGATAAGATAAAGATATATTAATATAAAAATAATGAAATTTTCCTTTGAATTAAATAAAATGTTATACATATTGTATTATATTTAATGAAATTGATTTTTACATTGAACGAGATGTTATATTCAGGTAATAAATCGTCCATAATTATATAATTTTTACATATCATAATAAAATTATATTTTTTTAAATACAAAGTCACATTACAATATGATTATAATATATATACAATGAAATAATAAAATATTGTATTATAACATATAATATAACATAATCATAATCATGTAATTTTCTTAACATTTCTACGCCCCTTGAAAACTAACACAATTAATTCTAATCTCCACATCTCCAAATCTTCTTTCACAGAGCACAACGTGATCGAACTTCCGCCAATGCGGTTCGTCAAAGAGTCCTCGAACTCCGGAAACCTGTTAATGGAAGCAGTGGTGATCGACGTGTCCCCAGATTACTTCGTGAGTGCGGAGGAAGGCGACGATCTTCGCACGGAAGCCGATTTCGAAGACATGTCCATCATGGACGACATAACTCGCGTCTTCTCCTCCCCGGATCAAGACTCGCGCAGTTCGTTAAAAAGATCCGCCAGATACAGCTTGGACGAGGATGACAAACCACCGGCGAGACCTCCGCGAAAGAAATCGAGCTCCTCTTCCAAGAGCGAGAAGAGCGAGAGGAGTCAAAAAATGGAGTCGGAAAGCTTCCACAGCGCTCAGAGGGACGAACCGTTCTCGCCGGTGTCGGCAATGTCCCCGGTCTCTTCGTTGAAGCAAGACGACAGCGACACGTTCGCCGATGCACTGTCATCGGCAAGGCTCTCGATTTCGGAGAACCAAGTGCAAAAGCTGCACGAGGACGGACGCGAGAGGAAGCGTAGTCTCAGCGGAGAGAAGACAGCCGGCTCGAGCATAGACGATGGGATCGGTGGAGATTCCTCCTTCGACTCTGTCACTGGTGCCCCGAAGAGGAAGAAACACCGGAAGAAAAAGCACAAGAGGGAGAAAGGTAGTTCGGAGGAGTCGTCGATCGGCAGTGAAATCGATGGGAAACGAAAGAGGAGCGGCAACACCGAAATGCTTCAACGTATCGAGTCTATAAACAAGACCGAAGAGCCGTACGTGGAAGACGTGGCTGACAAATCCAGCGAGAAGAAACAGACCACCAGCGAGTCGGACAGATCTCTGTCGAAAAGTAATAAGGAACGATTATTGGACAACATGAAGAGACTGAAGGGACCTGTTCTCGTAGTGAGGGACACGTTAGTGAGCATCGATAACCTCGAGACCAGATTGAACAGTGGCAGCGAGGAGGAGTGTAGAACGACCATAACGGAGAATATTATTAAGCCTATACAAATTTTATGCGAAGAGGTGTCTTCCATCGAGTCGAAAGCGCTGAAGAACGCCGGTGACAGGTCGTTGAATCAAACTGTTCGAATCTCTTTGTTGGAAACCATCGGTGGGCCAACGGAGGAGCTTCTCCGCGGAATGGAACTGATAGAACGTCAAGAGAACGTGAAGACTCGCAAGATGGATTTGATCGCGATCTTGGAGAGTCTCACGGACCCCGTGGACGAGATTCTAATGGGAATCACAAAGATCGAACATGAACTGACGGGGCGAGCTATCGGCGAGAAACCGGTCGCCTTGATTCGAATGATCTCCGCAGTTTCTAAGCTCGATGAGAACGTTAGAAACGTTTTGACCGCGGACAAACGAGCTGCGAGATTGGTCGCGAGTTTGGAAGAGATTCTTAACACGTTGGACTTCTTTTTGAACGACGTTTCCGTGGATCCATCTAGAGGAACGATAGAAACTGTGGACACTGTGGTGGTCGAGTCTCTCTCGAGATCTATAGATGACATGGCACGAGCTCTCGGTCGTACTTCTACGACAAAGGAAAACGTGGATGGTGCTTTGAACATTGTGGAAGTACTCGCCACTCCGACGCGCGAGTTGAAAGCGAAACTGGACACTCTGAGGTCCGCTTTGGAAACTTACGAGACGAAAGGCATCTTGTCCGAACATCGAACGAAATTGATCGAGTCGCTTCAAGCTTCCGTCGGGCAGACTGTCGGTGAGATTCAGAGAATGAAGGAGAAGAAGCCAGCCAATGAGGATCAAGAAAGAACAGCGGCGGAGGAACCGAAGCAGGATATTCTGAAGGAAGTGAGATCGAATCTCCAAGAGGCATTAAAATCGTACGAGAACGTGGCTGGCACTCTAGATCCTCGACTATCCAGCATCTTCGACCGAGTCGACGAGATGTACCGAAGGCTGAGAACACCGCAGAAACGAGAGATCGGTCTGGAATCTCTGACGAGTCTGGAAGGGCCTCTTTACTCTCTCCAGTGCGCTCTAACGTCAATTTCCGTCGCGGAAAATTCCGAGACGATATTTAAACTGCTCGAACCCGTCGTTTCACAATTAAAGTCGACGATAACGAATATGAATGAGAACTCGTTGCAACCGATACTGGAAATGGTTAGCAACATCGAAGGGATCGTCCGTCGAACAGATAACGAACTGGAGGAGAGTGCGTCTTCCAGGTCGATGCAGGAAGAGCCACAGAATTTGACCGACAGGATCCTGGATCCACTGATAGACGTTCAGTCAGCGTTGAGCACTACTCTGCAGAGCATGGAAGACGTCGACTCTGTTACGAATGGAGCGACAAGCTCTCAGAAATTCGCCTCGTCGGAGATAACTGCTTGCCTGGTAGAACTCAGGCAGTACGTGTCCGATGCTGCTCACACGGCCATGACTCTGAGAGAGGACGAAACGTTGAACAGTTTGATGGATCTGAAGGAACCACTGTTGGATCTGCAGGCTGTTCTTGCCTCCAAGGAGAGAAGTTTCCAGGAGCTGCCTGTGATTCGTAAAATACCAATCACGATAGAGAAATTGAAGACCGTCGTGTCGAAAGTATTGAAACACTCGCGATCGCAGGAGACGATCAAATGGACGAATGATCTGTGGAAAACGTTGGGAGACGTTGAAACCCAGTTACCAAAGACGATAGCTCAGTTAGCGGAGGCTGAGGAGGCGGCGAAACACATTCTGGAGCATTTGAACGTGGACCAGAGTCTCGGCAACGTTCACTTCGCTCTATCTTCAGTGTTGGAAAGACAAGAGAGGAGTTGTCCCTCGTACGCTTCGAGTTTGACGATCTGTATAGAGGATCTGAGACAGAGTATCGGATCTTCGGCAGTGGCGATTGCCAATTTGAAGCATCCGGTGGACGAGAAGATCGTCGAACAGATTTCCCTGCTGAAGGAGAGTTTGTTGAGTCTGCAGAGGTCTCTGCTGACTCAAGAACACGAGCCAGAAGAGGAACAAATATTGAAGGATCTGACGAATCCAGTTGAGAAACTGAAGAGTCTGGTTCGGGCTATGGTAGACACGGAGGCAAGGACGGACGTGCTTCTTCCAGTTTTGGAACTGCTCGAGGAAATAGAGAAAGACACGCCGCTCATCGCCAAGGAGGCGTCGAAGAAGAAGGCCAAAAGAGAAGCGGAGAAACTCATTCCGAGGAAGGAAGAACCGAAGAAAGAGAAGGTTCGAACATTTGGTTTGGCTGACAAAATCTTCCAGTCCTTGGACCCTATGAAACACTGGTTGTCGACTACGTCCGAGGAGAGCACGAGAGACGAGGAAGAGTCTGCTTTGAGCTCGACCGTGGACGAACTGAAGAGAGACGTGAACAGAATTGCCATCGAAACGTCGTACTCCGAGCCTCCGAGTGATGAAAATCTGATAGAAGCTTTGGTAGATCTTCGCGAACCATTGACGAGATTGCGAAACGCTATAGCAATGTATCACGAGCCAGCGGACTTGGCAACTCTAGAAGGACTGGGCAGACCGATGAAACATCTTCTACAGACCATTATAGACGTTCTGAGAGACCACGCCGAGGAAGAAGCTCTTCAACCTATAGTGGACGTCGTGGAAGAAATTGAAAACCAAATACCAATCTCCATCAAGGAGGCTCTCTACAGGAAGGAACTAAAAGAAATGGTTAAATCGCTCGAGCGAGAGAAGACGGGAGTGACAGCCTCTCAAGAGACCGTGCAAGAAGAATCTATCCCTCGAGAGGCTGTCGCTCGCGAGAGAGAAGAGATCACAGCTCACACCTCTCAGGAAACTATCCCCGAGGGAACTCTGGCGGAAAGCACGACGATGTTGCCTGAGATACAGTTTACCGAATCAATGACAGAGCGAACTGCAGTCGAAGAGATCTCCGAGAGAACAGAACAGTTGATTACAACGATCGAGGAGTTGCCAAAGGGAACGGAAGATGTGAAAAAGACGAAGAGAGAGGAAGAAGCCAAGAGTTTGATCGTTTCTCTGCCCAAGACGCTGGAGGATGTTCAAATGGATATAACAGGCATTTTGGAAGATTTCGAGGAACCCACCACTGGAACTACCACAATTCCTGTTTCCATATTAGCTAATTCGTTGGAGGAACTCAGAAAAACCGTCTCCGGTATGAGAGTGATGACAGTGAGTTACGGAAGATCGGCAGTTTCTTACGAAGAAATAGTTCGCGAAACAATTTCCGTGCTGAGAAATCTTACGCGACCTTTGAACGATCTTCAGAAGATTCTTCAGCAGTCGCACCAACACGGAGCTCAAGAGCTGGTAATTCTGAACCATTTGATTCAACCGCTAGACTTGATCGAATCCGAGGTGGTTAACCACGCGGTCCGGAAACTCGATGGAAATTCTAACGTGAGGGAGAATTGCGAGCCAATTTTGAATCTTCTTCGAGACATCAAAGATACGATACCGATCGTCGTGAAGGACATTCATTCTAGGCAAGAGCTTCTCGGATCTCTTCGTGAGATTTCGAAACCGTTGGAAAACATCGAGGAACAAATGAAGATGCTCGAGAGCCAGGCCGAGGAAACTCTAGAGACGGACGTGGCCAGAATTCTGGTAAAGCCACTGGAATACTTATTGAACACGATAAAAGTGACATCGCAGGAGCTCGAACTGTTAGACCAACGCAGAGCGATTGTGGTCGAACTTCGAACTCTCGTCGAGCCACTGGTGGAGTTTTTGAGCAGTCTGTCAGTGGTTCAGAGCAGCAGGAAGAGTTTAGTTCCAGAGTCGGCCCTATTAGACGAGAGGCGAAGTGTTATTTCAAAGTCTGTCGAAGGTTTGCAAAGGCAAGCTTCGATCGTTTTGGAGAGGATTTGTAACTTGGAAGGGGCGACGTTGTTCGAGGGTGCACTGAGCTCGTTGAAGAACGCCACTCTCTCTGTTCAGAAGCAAATTGGCAGGACTGATTACTCGAGAAGATCCAGCAGCGTAGAATTCACTCTTCAGTACAATCTTTCGAGCTCGTTTAATCATTTGAGGAATACAATCGCAACTTTGGACGAAAGCGTGGAGGAACCGATTCACGAGGTCATCACCAAGTCGCTGGAAGCTTTGCAGAAGCAAATCACTCTGTCGCAAACACATTTCATGCAAACGATCAACGAGCAACCGGTAGATGAAGAGGCTATCGTGGAAGGATTTTTGTATCCGACTAATCAGCTAAGGTCAGCTTTGAACACACTGAGAGAGATGATCGATCAGAAAACGATACCATCGATTTCGGTTCAATCTGTGACGCTTCTTCAGGCTCTGGCCAATTCTACTATTGAACTGGCTTCTTCTTTGTCGCTTCATAAAGTTAGGTTGATAAGAGAGGGTGCTTCCGAGGGATCCTCGCTCGTGGAAACGTTGTCTGCTATGGTGGACGTTTTGGAGAGTGTGAAGGATTCTATAAGGGAGATTGAGAAGGTGGCGAATGAAAGAGGGAACGTTGTGACGGAGGTGAAAGAAGAGAAAATTTCTTCGGACGTTCCCATCACCATTACACAGATCGAAACTATCGTGGATGAGATTATCGAGATTTCGAAGGAGGAGGTGGAGAGTGTGTTGACTGTCGAAGAAGTGCCAACTGAGGAAGATGGATTGAAGATAGAGGAAATAAAGTCTGAAGAGAAGGTCGACGAGCTTCGGGAAATAAAAGCGGAAAGAGTTGAAGATATCGAGAGAATGAGAGAAGATAAAGTTGAAACTCTAGAAGAATTGAAGGAAGAGAAAGTAAAGGCTCTTGAAATTACTCAAGAAGGGGAGATTGAAGTCATTCGAATAACGGGGAAAGAAAAGCTTGATACTATCGAGGGAGTAACAGAAAAGAAAGTGGAGACCTTGGAAGGAACGAAAGAAGAAAAAGCGAAGGCACTAGAAACAACTGAAGAAGGAAAAGTCGAAGAAGTTCTTCGAGTAATGGGAAAAGAGAAAATTGATTCTCTCGAAGGAACGATAGAAGGGAAAGTTGATGCCTTCGAAGGAATGAAAGAAGAAAAATTGAAAGCTGTTGGAGTAATTGAAGGAGGAAAAGTTGAAGCCTTTCAAATAATGGGAAAGGAAAAAGTTGAAATCCTCGAAGGATTGGCGGAGGAAAAAATCAAGGTTCTAGATACAAGTGGAGAAGACAAAATGAAAGCTCTTGAGGTAACTGAAGAAGTAAAGCTCGAAACTCTCGAAGTAATGGGGAAAGAAACAGTCGAATCTTCCGAACTGATAAAAGAAGAAATGATTGAGATTCTCGATGGAATAAAAGAAGAAGCAGCTTCTGATACAATTGAAGAAAGGAAAGGAGAAGTTGTTAAAGTAACAGGAAAAGAAAAAATTGAAACTCTTGATGAAATGACAGAAGGGAAAGTTGCAAAGCTTGAGGAAATAAAAGGAGAACCAACCAAAGCTCTTGAAATAACCGAAGAAGATAAGATTAAAAGTCTTCAAATAACAGGCAAAGAAAAAATTGAAACTCTCGAAGGAGTAACAGAAGGAAAAGTGGAAATCTTAGAAGAAACGAAAGAAGAAAAGGCAAAGGCACTAGAAACAACTGAAGAAGGAAAAGTCGAAGTTCTTCGAGTAATGGGAAAAGAAAAGATTGAGGATCTGGAAGAAATGATAGAAGAAAAAATTGAAACTTTGGAACAAGCGAAACAAGAAGAAACGAAGGCAGTTGAAACAACTGAAGAAAGAAAAACTGAAGTTCCTCAAGTAATGGGTAAAGGAAAGGTTGAAGATCTCGAAGAGATGAAAGAGGAAAGAGTTGAAATCTTGGGAGAAAGTAAAGAAGAACAAACGAAAGCTTTCGAACTAACTGAAGAAGGGAAGGTTGAATCTGTTAAAGCGACAGGAAAAGAAAAGGTTGAAACCATTGAAGAAATAGAAACAGAGGAGAAAATTGAAATGCTCGAAGAAACAAAAAGGGAATTGATTCAAGCTGTTGAACTGACTGAAGAAGAAAAGGCAGAAAGTCTTCGAGTAATAGGGAAAGAAAAAGTTGAAATTCTTGAGGGAATTGAACAAGAAAAGGTTGAAACTTTCGAAGAAATTAAGAAGGAGGAAATGAAAGCTCTCGAGGTAGCTGAAGAAAGTAAAACTGAAGCTCTTCAAATAACGGGGACAGAAAAAGTTGAAACTCTCCAAGAAGATACACAAGAGAAGGTTGAAGCTCTTAAACTGATTGAAGAAGAAAAAGAGAAAGCTGTTGAAATAATTGAAGAAGGAAAAGCTGAAGCTCTGAAAGCAATGAGGAAGGAAACAGTGGAATCTGTTGAATTGATAAAGGAAGAAAATGTCGAAGCTGTTGAAGGAGTGAAAGAAAAAGATATAAAGGCTGTTGAAACTATCGAAGAAGAACAACTCCAAATAAAGGGAAAAGAAACGATTGAATTTGCTGAATTGATAGAAGAAGAAAAAGTTGAAGCACTTGAAGCAACGAAAGAAGAAACAGTTAAGGCTCTTGAAGCAATCGTTGAATCTCCTGAAATAATAGAGCAGAAGAAAGTTGAAAGTGTTGAAGTTATGAAAGTTGGAAAAGTCGAATCCGTTGACGGCCTGAAAGAAGAAATAATTGAGGATCTTGAGGTGATAAAAGAAGAAAAATTAGAAGCAGTGGTTGAAACAATCGAAGAACTGTCCAGAACAGAGGAAAAAGTTGAAATATTATCCGAAAAGGCAGAAGAGTTGTCCGTGAAAGAAGAAAAAGTGGAAACTTCACTACAGACGACAGAAGAAACAGCAAAGATTGTTGAAAAAGTAGAAACTCCTCTTGAAGTAACTGAGAAATTGGTAAAAGAAGAAAAAGCTTTAACAGAGAAAGCGGAAGAAACTGCTATTGAAGACAAAGAGACAATATTGTCTGAAAAAGAAATGATAGCAGAAAAATTAGAAGAAGCATCAACTCTCAAAGAAATAACCACACAAGTGATGGAATCAGAGAAAAAGCAAGTTGAAATTGAAACAATTGAGAAAGTAGAAGAAAGAACTGAAAAAGAAGAAGCACATGTCGAAGAAGTAAAAATAGAAGAATTTAAAAAATCAGAAGAATTAGCACAGAAGCAAGAAATTAAAGAACAAATATCTGACAAGATAGAAGAGGGAAAAATCACAGAAGAATCTTTGGAGAAAACAAAAGAAGAAACCAGCGGATCAAAAGAATTAGCGAGACAAGAAGAGATCATTGAAGCCTTATCTCAAAAAATAGAAGACTTAACAAAGGCAGAGGAAGAAAGAAATCAGATTACGATCAATCAGATACAAAAAACAGCTTCATCGATCGATACTTTGCAACAACCATTCAAGGAATTAACCAATCTCGTGTCTGTAGCTCTAGACGAACCTCTTTCCTCAAAATCCGAAGAAGAAAAACGAAGAATCCGAGAATTAACAGCCCTAATTCAAATCTTGTACGATTTAAAAGCAACAAGCTCATCTGTTCAAACTACGTTATCTTCTTCCTCGCTTTCAGAACTTGAAACGCAATTTCTTCAGTTGTTGGATTCTTTAATAAACATGGATCAAGCTACAGAAAAGATTCTTCGCTTGACTCAGAAAGAATTGGCACCAGCATTGAAAGAAAACGTAATGGTGTCTCTTCAAATACTTCTTGAACCTTTAACGTCCCTTCAACACGAGCTTTTTTCCATCCAAGAAGCAACTGCTCAACTGTCCACGGACTATTACTCGCTGCTTACAAACTCGCGAAACGTCGACGAAGTGATTTCAGAACTAATGAAAGTAATTCGCAAGACTGCCGAGACGAAGAGTATGAAAGTGGTCGAGGAGATGAAAGTAATGGCGAAATCGAAAGAGGAGAGTTCAGACATTGAGGAAACCACGGCGAAGCCTCTCGAGGAACTCATCGAGGTACTCATGGTTTCTCAAGAGAAAGTGAAGCCAGAGGATGCTTCGCCACTTGATTCGGTCTCGCTCTCGATAGAACCGACTGAATTGCTCGAGAAACAGAAATTAATCAGCGACGAAGAGACGAAATTGGAAGCAGAACTCGTAAAGAAGATAATCAGTCCAATAGAGAATCTTCGCGAAGCGATCGCGAAGATCGAGCAAGAGAAATTGGAGGAAACTGAGGAGTTGCCTACGATGAAGACAGCTACTGTCATATTGAGCACTATTATCCATCCTTTGGAGGAATTGGAACAGTCTTTGAACATCTCTTCTCAGCAGCAGACTGCAAGAACTGAAGAAATCGCGGAAGAAATGAAATCAAACGTCCCGTATTTGCAGTCGTTGCCGGTAGCCGATGTTTTCGAACAACTGAAGAGATCCATCGCCACGATTCAAGAAGATACGATCCTCGAAGCGAGTGAAGAGGTCAAGAGATCGGAAGGCAAAGCGTTAATCGTTAAAGAAGTGGAAGAATCTCTGGAAAATCTCAAATTTTCCGTCGGTGCAGTGCAGAAAATAGTAACATCCGAATGTGAAGCTACTGAGACACTTTCTAATATAGAGAAGACATCTACAATTGAAACGTTCGTTAAGTCTGTGATGGAATTAGGAGAGAAATGCATGGCGATTGTTAGACATCCTCCAGTGAAAATAGAATCGCCTGAAAGGATTCAGAAGGAAGAATTGAAGCAAGTTTTGGAAATGATAGCTCAGCCTATGCAAGTGCTGCGCGAAATTGCTTCTGAAACTGAAGAACAAAAAACCGAAGAGGTACAAGTTCTAGACGAGACGAGTAAAAACGTGGCGGAAGCTTTGAAACCTCTGGTGCATCCTCTGGAAGAACTGGAACAACTGCTGAGCACTGCGGTGCAAGAAGTTGACACGTCGAAGGATGAAACGACCGAAGAAACGAGGAAGACTGCTTTGTCTGCGGAGAAACTGAAGCTTAGTCCTGTTTTGGAGGAATTGCAGAGGTCTATTGTGGTGATAGAGGAACAGATAGCTCTGCAGCCGAAGAAACTCGACGTATCGACTGAAAAGGTTGAAGCTTCTATTGCCGAATTGATAGAAAGTCCGCTAGAAAATCTGAAATCTGCAGTAGCAGCCATTCAAACCGTCGAAACGGAAGAAACTGGCAAAGAGGGGACGACCGCTTTGAGAACGATTGCTAAGTGCGTGGAAGAGATAGCAAAAGTGACTTCGGTTGCTTCTACTCGGCAGGAAGTTGATGTTAGCGTCTTGCAGCAGCCACAGATTGCTAAGATAGACGTGCAAGAGTTTGGGCAGCAAGCTCTGGATGCTATAACGAGTCCAATTCAAGTTCTACGTGAGACCGTCTCCAAAATTGACGAACAACAGGCACAAAAAGTCGAAGCTTTGACTGTGTCCGAAACGAAAGAAGTTGCTAATGTTTTACATAGTTTGGTCGAACCTTTGGTACAGTTAGAGAAATCTCTATCAGTGGCTGTCCAAGAGACGAGCATGATCAAAGAGGAGTCCGCCTCAGAATTGAAAGACGTTCGATCTTCGGTAAAATTGAACGTCGAGCCTGTTTTGCAACAGTTGGAGAAGTCTATCGCTGTGATTCAGGAACAGGTCTCTCTGGAAGCTGGTAAAGAAGAATCGCAGGATATGTTGGAAACTTCTGTGGCGAAAACGATAGAAGAACCTCTGGAACACTTGAGATCCTCGGTAGCAGCTGTCAAAGAGATAATAATGGAGGCAGAGCAAACGAGTGATTTGTCGGGCATGGACAAAACTTCGATCTTAAAATCGTTCGCAAAGTCTGTGGAAGAAATCGGCGAGAAGTGTTTGGCGGTAATTTCTCAGCAGCAAGTTGGAACGGAGTTAATTTCCAAAGAATCGAAAGAACCACAAACAGAGATATTAGAAATGGTTATCGCTCCTCTTCAAGTACTGAGAGAAGTTATTAACAAACTAGAAGAAGAGAAACTGCAACAGGTGGAAGCTTTCGAGTCTCCAGAGTTAACTGCACCAGGAAACATTGCATTGAAGATCTTGGTGGAACCGCTACAAAAATTAGAGACTTCCTTATCTTCCACCGTCCGACAAGCCGTCTCGACGAAACTCGAAAAGACTGAGGAAATGTCTCAGGCAGCTACCTCCGTGCAACAATTGGACATCAAATCTGTCATGGAAGAACTTCAGAAATGCGTGGCGACGGTGCAAGAACAAGTAAAACTACAATCGACGACAGAAGAGTCTGTTAAGAGGAAGACCTCTCTCGCTCAAGCTGCTGAGAAATCATTGCAAGACTTGAATTCTTCCCTCGCGGTCATTCAGAGCGCAGTGTCCATTGAACCGAGCGCAGAAGAAACGCTGTCAGAAGCCGAGAAGGTGACAGTGTTGCAGCAGTTCGCGAGATCGGTGCAAGAACTGGAGGAATGCTTGGTAGTGGTGAGCGAGCAAGAAGTAAAGGAAGTAATGGAGACGGCGATGGAACTAAGAGTAGCTGAAAAACTGGAAGCACAAGTTCTCGAGACGATTATCACGCCGGTCCACACGCTGCGCGAGACTATTATGAAGATACAGGAAGAGAGCACTGAAGAAGTTGAAGCGTTAGAGCCAGGAGAAGTTAATATGCAGACGTTGACCTCTTTGGTGCATCCACTGGAACAGTTGGAAAGATGTTTGGTGAACGTGATTCAACAGACGTGTAGTCAAACAGTCGAATCTGTGGGAGAAATGAAGGAGGAAACGCCACAAACTGTCATTCTGCCGATTTTGCAAGAATTGAAAGAGAGTATTCTTAGCGTCGAAGAGCAATTAACTGCGAGTCCTGAAGAATCCTCGAAAATGGGGATTGCGAGGAGTATAAACAAGGCGATTGAAGAATTGAAGACATCCGCCATTGCCGTCGAACAAGTCGTCACACTTTCTTCGGAAGAGACTGAAGAAACAAAGACTAAGAAGACATCTGTCTTGCAGGATTTTGCCAAGTCGATAGAACAGTTGGAAGAAAGATGTTCAGCAATGATGAGTCAGAGAAAAGTAGAGAAGAAGTTGGAAGAAGCTGAGAACCAGCAGGCAAAGGTGGATGTTGAAGTTCTTCGAAAGATAAATGATAAAATACGTATACTCTGTGAATCGTTCTCTGAGATCAAAGAAGAGAAAATGCAGCAGGTGGGAGAATTGAAAATAGAAGAGCAAACTGGTGTGAAATTGAACGTCCTCGTAGAACCGTTAAATATACTGCAGCGAGTTTTACAGACTGCACTTGAAAAAGGTAAAATAGTGGAAGAAGATACAACGAAAGAGTTGAAGAAAACCGAGATTCCTGTTGAGAAATTGAATTTGCAGCCTGTATTGGAAGAATTGCAGAGATCTCTAGTCGTTGTTCAACAACAAACGAGCGAGACTGCGTCAGTTTCAACGGAAGTCGATGAAATTAGATTGATCAAGGCTGCCGAGGAATCTCTCGAACGGATGAAGCTGTCTGTCTCAGCTGTTCAGGAAATGACGATTTCTCAGCAAGACGAAACTAAGGAGTTGAAGACAGGCGAGGAGAAGTCTCGATTGGAAGCTTTCGCACGATCGATAGAAGAAGCTGGAGAGAGACTATTAGCTGTAGTAAAGCAACACGAAGTGAAGCAACCTGAAGACATTCCAACGAAGAAGAAAGTGGTCGACGATTTTGTGAAAACTGTGATCGAGCCTATCAACGAATTACAAGCGACAATCTTGAATATAGACAAAGAGAGTGCATTATCAGGAAAGAAGGGGGAGGAAGAAGCTGTAGTACTTCTGAAGATGATACAACCTCTGCACAAACTCGAGGATTCGTTCCTATCAGCCATGCAGAAAGAGACAGTAACCGAGTACGAAACTGTCAAGGAAGTTCCTCAAGCAATTCCAGTTCTGCAGCAACTGCCCGTTAAATCCACGCTAGAGGAGCTAAATAAAAACGTGGTAGAAATTCAGAAGCAACTGGTCCTTGCGAAGGAAAGCTTAAGTTTGACAGAAGACACCGAGGACTTTTCTGTGATGAGAAACCTGGAGAGATCACTGAGCGACTTGAGAACGTCGGTGGCTGTGGTGCAACAGTTGACAACGATAGAAAAACCTGGGGAGCAAATTCTAGACGTGGAAAACGCGTCTGCGTTGCAGGCGTTCGGCAAAGCAGTGGAGGAGTTCAAGAAGCAGTGCTCTCTGGTCGTCACGAAGCCAAGAGTCATCGCTGCGATTGTAGGAACGACAAGAGAACCAGAGAAACTCGAAGCTCGAGTCTCGGAACAGATTCTTGTTTCATCTAAATTGTTGCAAGAGTCAGTCTCGACTATAGAAGAGATCAAGCTTCAAGAAGCTGAGATATTGGAAACGTCTGACATGAAGAAACCGATGACACTCTTGAGCGAGTTGATACCACCGTTGCAACGATTGGAGCAATCATTCGTCGCCGCGATTCAAGGGGAACACGTGACGGAACACGCTGCAGAGAGTCTAGATGCTGACGAGAGAATGTCGTTGTTTGAGAAAGCAACTTTGAAACCGATACTCGAAGAGTTCCAAAAGTCGATCGCAGCAATCCAAGAGCACGCAACGATGGAAGAGTACGTGGGAAGTTTGTCAGAAACCGAGGACGCAGCGTTTCAGTTGAAGACAATGGCTCAGACGTTGACAGACTTGAAGACTTCCGTCGCTGCTATTCAACAGACCACTGAATCTGTCGCAGAGTTTGCAAAGGATCTGTCGCAGACTGAAAGCGTTGCAGCGTTCGAAATGTTTGCAAAGACTCTTCGCGATTTGGTAGAACGCGTAGCTACGATCGACCATCAACAGGTGATTATAGAACCAGCAGCGGACACCATATCGGAAGATGCTTCTTCTTTGAAGACTTGGGCCGATGTCGTGGAGGGAGCAACCGTTCAAGTCACAGAACCGATGATCGTGGACCAGGGTGCCATCGAATCGCCTTCGGAAATGGTTGTTTCGATATCTGAGGAGGAAACGCAGGCTTTAAAGAGCTTGGCTAGACCTTTGAACGAACTGAAGGAGTGTCTGGCGGTAGTCGTCGAAGAAAGAAAATCAATGGACGCGAACGACGTTGCCCTGACATTGTCCGAGAAGGAAGATATTTCTTTGTTGAAGACTATGGCTCAACCTCTGTTGGAATTGAAGAATGCAGCTGTGTCTGTTATTCAAGAGCAAACAGCTATCGAATCGGCGAAGGAGAAGTCGTTCGAAGGCGAAGAAAAGCCAGAGACTACATTGAATCCGCTGATTGTACCGTTGGAAGAACTCTGCAATTCGATTGCCTTGATCGAGGATCGTATGCTGGTTGAGTCTGTGGACGATCGATCGGCAGACGAGATTTCTTTGCTGTCTGCTCTAGCCGAGCCTTTGATCACTCTTCACAGAAGCATCTCCGTGCTTGAAGAACGAGTGATATCACCTGAAGCGGAAGCAATGCCAGAAGAATCGAATAACTGGATCGCTGAATGCTTAGCTGTCCCTTTGGAGGAGATAGAACGATCTATCGCTGAGATTCGCGAGTGTATCGTGATGGAACCTGAGCCCGGAGCTGGCGAAGAGATGAGGATTGACACGCCAGATTGGTCAGTGATAGAGAAACTGATGCAACCGGTGGAAGTCATAAGATCGACGATCATTCGAATGGAGGAAAATATTACGAAAGATAGGAAACCGGAAGAGGAAAGTGAGTACGACGTTGTGAAGACATTGGTGCAGCCGTTGATTGATGTTCAAGAAAGCTTCCTGGTGCTGAAAAATAAAACTGATATGAGTATAGAAGAGGAGGAAGCTAGTATCGATGCAATCGTAGACTCGTTGTCTAATCTTGAAAAGAGCATATCGTTCATCGAAGAACAGGCTGCTGAAAAATTACAGAGACCTCCAAGCGGAGAGGAAACTGTAATTGGAGTCTTAGCTGAGCCTCTGACGCAATTGAAAGAGAAGATCATGACAGTGGAAGAGTCTTCGACCGTGTATCTTGAAAATTTGGAGAAACCATTGAAGGGATTGCAAGCTGCTTTGGAAACAATGTTGTCTGACGAAAGTCAACAAGTGCAAAAGCGAAAGAAAGAGAGCGCCGTTTCTGTGGAAGAAGCCGCGAGAATATCGACGAAACTGATTAATTCTATCAGAGAAGCGAATGACTCTATCGAGTCGATTGATAACAAGATAGAAAGTTACAAAGGACTGCTAGGACTGGAGATTCAGATCGAGAAGGAAGCTTTGAAGACGTTAGCCAAGCCGCTTGAACAAATTAAACAGGGAATTCAGAGTTTGTTGGATAGACAAGAGATTGAAGATGAGATTATGGGTTCGTTGACGAAGCTTCGAAAGGCGATTGCTATTATCAGAGAGCAATCTGCTGACAAACCTGTAGCCGAACCATCGCATTTGGAGATTACGGAGATTTTTGGAGTATTAAGAACTTTGAATGTCAGTTTGAACGAGTTGGAAGTTTCTACTGAAAAGGTTGAAACACTGTGGAAGGAAAATTTGCATGGAGAAGGACTTGTAGAATTGGAAGCTCCTGTTTCGAATTTAATGAACGATATAAATCTGCTTCGGGATAAATTGTTAAATGTGCAGATAGTGTGGGAGAAGGATGAAGAGAAGAAGAAGGAGAAGAAGAAAAAGAAAGAAAAACTTGAGGAAGAGGAGAAAACGATGGATACGGAGGAGGAAAAACATAAGAAAACAAAGGAGGTTGAAAAACAGAGACAGGAAAAAGAAGAGAGAAAGAAAAAGGAAGAAGAAAAATTGAAAGAAGAGGAAGAGAAAAAGAAAAAAGAAGAGGATGAGAAATTGAGGCAGGAAGAAGAAGAACGTAAGAAGAAAGAAGAAGCTGAAAAATTAAAACAG